AGAAATGAGAAGTGGTGGGTAGAAAAGTGTGAAGAGATAGAGAAAGCTGCGGCTACTGGTAATAATCGTAACCTTTTCTATCTAATCAGGAATACGGGTCCTAGGAAAATAGGCGTATGTGAGGCAATTAAGGAATCCGATGACACACTGATTCACGATCAGCAACGCTGTCTTAACGGTTGGGCTGAACACTTCAAGGCTCAGTCCAGCTGGCCCCAATCGACATCTTATTTTTCACTCTCCGCCTCGACTGGACAAATACTCCCAGTTGATGCTAGTCCTCCATATGAGTATCTCGGGAAATAAGTTAATCAAAAGGCACAAGGTCCAGATGGGCTGTTCCTATCAGCGTTTAAGGATGGAGGCTCAGCCTTGGTTTTGGAGTTGACAAAAATCCTGGGCTCAATATGAGAAACGCAAGAGGTTCCAACTGAATGATATGAATCGGTGATCATACCGATTTACAAGAAAGGTGACACGTCCTCTTGTGAAAGCCATAGAGGAATTAGTTTAATCAACAGTGCCTCTAAACTTCTCGCTGGTATCATACTCCGCCGATTGTCTGCCGCACGTGAACAGTGCATGTGTGAAAACCAGGCTAGTTTTAGGCCCGGTCGAGGTTGTATCGACCACATCTTCACTGTGCATCAAATTCTGGATCGCCGGCATTCTTTTCGTAGACCCACCATCTCTGTCTTCCTAGATCTGAAAGCGGCTTTCGAGCCACCATCTCTGTCTTCCTAGATCTGAAAGCGGCTTTCGACTCAGTCGACCGCTCTAAACTCTGGCTCGCCTTTTTCTGAAAGGTGTGCCCGAGAAGTTAATTTCAATATTACGATTGCTTTATACTAATAACCGAAGTCGAGTAAGGGCTTACGGGAAAAAAGCCAAGGGCGGTCAAGCTAAGACCTGGCCCGAGGGTGTGAAAACCCTAACCAGGAGACTGGGTCACAGGTCCTGTTAGGTTACCTGGCTGGGGACCTCGGAATGATCATAGGCTGGATCGAACGCCACTGACAGGGCGACGAACAAACCATGAGGTGTTAGGTCGTTTTTCGTATTATTTTCGCAGTGGGTTTATTTCGTGTTTTTGCTGTGACGCGCCACTCTGGTGGGCGCATGGTAAATTCCCTCTCTCACTATGGTTTCCACGACGACATGACAAAGGTAAAACCCTATCTGTATCAAACCCATGTAGTAGTAATGAGTGAATAGTGGGGATGTTCCTACTTAAAAGTCCATCGACATGGTCCATTGTGAGGTAAATCGTGCCCCCGAATCCCTAGGAATAAGTACTATGATATTGTAACGTGTTACTTTCGCACCGCACGTGGACAAAACGGTGTTACGGTTGCCATAATCAATGCAGTGAATTTTCCAACGTACTACTGCAGATCACAGAACACCGTCGACACGTGCGGCCGTACACATTTGCGCGTGCACGTGATCGAACTTGAAAAGGCCTGGCGCGAGAGACAACACAGAACCGATTGATTGCAACAGTATCGAGACGTGTATGCGTGCAGACGCACATATCCGGACCGACTGACTGATTGACTGACCTGATGGTGATCGTTTCGACAGGCCCCCTGATGGAACTGTTGGCACAAGCCAGATCTGGGGTTAAATTTCGCAGTACGAAAACAAGTATTCGTACCACCATCAGCACCATGAAAACGCTGTACACGAATTAACATGCGCAAGCATTAGGAAAATAACAGAACGAACACTAACCGCAAGTTAACAACACTCACTTCCTGTATAGGACGAATCCAGACACATGGACACATTATTGGACCGCCGTCTTACAAGCAGCGAGTCACTGTCGTGCTGACTCTCATCAATGCATTTGAAATCCAGTAGATAGGATCGCGTATCCACCTGCAACAGGGTAAGAATACAAGGATCGTGTATGTGGTGTCGTAGGACCAAACATCAAGCCTCAGTTAGCTACGGTGAAACATTCCATAGTGCTGAAGTAACCCCAGGCGAAATAAGTGAGTAAAGACCAACGGGGCTTCCTAGATTTAAATGTGCGTAAAAAGGCTATTTCAAAGACACCGACAATGCCGAAGAAAACGGACCCCAAACAAGATGTTGCCAAGCGGATTATCTAACGTACATTGTATGGATCTGCCTTTTACTACTCTGATCACATTTATTAAAAAATACCCGTTTTCGATCACATGACACAACGGAGACCACACATGCAACATTGAAAAACATCGTTGTCTGAGCTAACTCTACGCCTTTGTGAGTTACACCGTCTTCCGGATACCGATTGGGTCGGCCCATAAGGAGTAAACGAGTAAACCGTGCACAAAAACAGCTGAGTTGTGTGAAAGTAGATACACGAGCGCCACAGTTTGCGATCAGACACATCAGTGTACACCTAACTACTGATCATGCAGTCGTAGCTGGATGGCCTCAAGCAACTTAGATAATTGAGTACCTTGGTGGCAGTTTTCACATCTACATGCTATTCTCCTTCCACCCCCTACACAACTCGACAAACATAGTAAGACGAGGAGGTCCATATGGTGACACGTGTAACGCGCGCCCACGAATAGCAATCTACGGAGGTCAAGCACTTGCATTAGTGCGTAACAGCATGTTTAACCTTGGCTCTACTGATCCAACAGGAACAGGACTCGTACCAAAAGTTCAGATCACTGACAGCCTCTAGTAANTAGTAAGCCCCACGTGATGAAATGTTTATTTCATTTTCCCAATCACCGGCTCTTCGTTGACCAGAATTAAAGCGTAAACCCCATGTTTTCATGCTTATGCACCAGCTGTGTCGCCGAAAATATGACGGGATCGAGCTTACTGCTCCTTATTATGAATTCAAATTCTTTATTTGTCTGGCACACTTTTTCCTTTTTCACTACGAAACAGCACAAACAGCCAAACCAAAAAAATGGAAGCAAAGCTGAAACTGATTTATTCGTAGTATTTTTCCGGCCTCTAAAGACCTCGAATGGTCGGAGTTGGTGTCTCGGATTGTGACT